GGAACCCCAAAAGAAAAACCCCACCAAAAAAAAAAAAAAAAAAAAAAAGATGATGAAATAAGTGGATAAAAAAGCCATTCTGGGGACTAGCAGGTGGCGTGGTGGTTAAGGCACTGGATGCTCCCACATGGCTGACCACAGTTCAAGTCCTGGATCTGGTGGCTTGCTTTCTCACTTTCCTCTCTCTCTCTGGTCAAATTAAAATGAATGAATGGGGACCAGTGGTTAGCATAATAGCTATGTCACTGGATTCCGATGTAGTCAACCTCAGTTCAAGTTTTGGACCCGGCGGATTAAACTCACGCCGGGCACGTGTGCATGCATGCCCAAGGTCCCGAGAGGAGAATGGAGGAGAAGGGATTGCGGCATGGCCATCCCCCTTGGGGGGGTGATTTCTCACTTTCTGTCTCTGTCTCTCTCTGTCTGTCTGGCGAGCGTACACACCCTATAGCAAAAACCTCTTAAAAAAAAAAAAACTCATTTTTGTGTTTCCTTTTAAGCCAGTTGCTCAGAAACTGTACACCTGGGAGTCATTCTCAATAATCCTTTGCCTTCTCCTGCTACCTCTAGTCATGTTTCCCTTCCTCATCTCCCATGAAAAGCCTTCCTCATTTCTCATTAGATTACTAAAATAGAGAGTTATCTCTTGCTCAGTTTCTCACCACAAATCTATCTTCTTTATTGCAGCCAGAGAAATCTTTCTATACCACATTAATACCTATGTAGTTCCACATCACTCTGAGGACGCACTCTAAGTATTTCAGTGTGGCACCTGAGACCTTTCACTCCATCTCCTGTCCCACTGCCGCATGGACACCCTCTGACTGATTAAGAAGAGCATTGCGGGCTCCCTCCTGTGCATCCTTATGAGGTCAGTTCAGTTCACAAGTGCCCTTCCATGAAGACCTCTCTCTGGCCCCTGCAGAACCCAGATACACACCTCTATTATATGCTTGTCCCGCTCTAGTCTGCCGCCTTGTTAAGGGTAGGAATTGGGTCTCATTTGTCCATATTCACAGTGTTAGCACAGGCCTTGAAGCAGAGCCCCTCAAAGAAAGGTACTGAAAATAGACTAGTGCGCAAGAATGAGTCCCAAGAGCCTCAGGGGAAACAGCAGCGAGGAAGGGATTCGCACCTTGGTAGCCAGCTCCTTCTCCCTGTCCACCAGGCTTTCGATGTCTGCTGAGTCATAGCCACTGCTCTCGCTGGGTGTGATGGCACTTTCGAAGGTGGTGGTTGAGATCTGAGAGGAGATGCTGGTGGAAGTGCTGAGGGTCCCACTGCTGAGGCTGGGTGATAACGAGTCACTCAGGGATTTGGGGATGCTGTCACCAAGTCTCTCACGAAGCAGCAAGAAATGACGGGTTTTCTCCACCTAGGAAGATCAACACTATTTCCTCAGGAAACACAAAGCTCATCAAGACTTTCTCTTTTTTATAAGAGAGGTTTTTGCTATAGGATGGGCATGCTGACCGGAGAGACAGAGAGACAGAAAGTGAGAAATCACCCCTCAGGGGGGATGGCCACGCCCCAATCCCTCCTTCTTCATTCTCCTCTTGGGATATTGGACACGCATGCACATGCTCCCAGTGAAAGCTTGAAGCTGTCAGGTCTGGGAATCGAACCGTGGTCTACTACATGTGAGTCCAGCAACATAACCACTGCACCATCTGCTGGTCCCAACTCATCAAGATTTTCTTCCTCTAAATTTTTAAAATTGATTTAACTTTATGTGTTTATTTATTTCTTTTAATTTGACCAGAAAGGGACAGAGTGAGAGAGAGAGAGAGAAAACAAGCCACCAGGTCTGGGACTTGAATCACAGTCGGCCATGTGGGAGTTCAGCACCCTTAACCACCACACCATCTGCTAGGCCCCCAACTCATCAAGATCTTTATAAGCGGGCAGGCAGGTGGCATGGTGGGTGGGGCACTGGACTCCCCCA